AATCAAACTGACAGTTAATCATACTAAAAGTTAAACAAACTGACAGTTAACTTTACTGACAGTAAATCAAACTGACAGTTAACTTTACTGACAGTAAATTAAACTGACAGTAAAACTTACAATAAAAATACTTAAGCCCACTTTGTCGTCTGAGTCACACTTGTCTCCCATATAATGATAGTTCTCCTTACATCTACCCTCCATACTTTTTGTATCATATTTCTGGTAAATGATGAAAATTTAAATGTAGTTTTAAAAAATAAAACAGCCTTATAGGATACTTAAACACAAATTTAATGAACTCATATACATTGAACTCGTACAATCAGTCAAAAATAAATTGTATATAACATTCTACATAATTTGATCAAAAAATAAAATATATACATTTGTAAACAAAAGTATATTAAAAAATAAAATGGGTAACCTGGGATATACAATACTTATGCATATACCTACTTTAAATGTTCATATTTTCTATATGATTGAGTTATAAATTTAATATAAAATTATTTGCTATGAGGAGGTAAAATTGGATGAAGTTTTAATCTTACTAATATTATAAATGTGAAAGTTTAGATGGATGTTTGGATGTTTGTTACTCTTTCACGCTAGAACGGCTGAACGGATCTGGATGAACAGCCACAGAGTTAGACAATTATAGTCTGGAATAGCACATAGGCTAGTTTTTATCTCGGAAAAATGTACGGTTCCCGTAGGAGATAGGTTTGTTTCTGTTTTTCTGTAGTAATTTTTTTTTTGGAAAATATTTTTTATAAGATATTTTTTTAATAATAAACTTGAACATTTTAAAATTATGTGCGTATTAAATTCCCAATTTCAGTATATTTTAAATAGATTTAAAACTTTAAAATAGATATTTACATAAGTTTCATAAAAACAATTTGGTTATGAAACACGATCCTTAATTATTGATTACATATTGTATGACTAGTTCTAAGTTAACAGCGACTGCAAATAAATATTTTTACTTAATATACCTAATATATAAATTGCTAATACTGTTAAAAATTTGTGGTGATAAATTACGGTTTAACATTATACACATTTCTCTTATATCCCGATCGGGACAGCGTAGAAATGTACGTGTGTATACATCTCTTTTTATATAACGCGCCACAGAAATAAGAGTTTAAAATAAAAACTTACTTAAAAAATACTTCACTATTATTGAAATTAGTTCGTAATAAGTCATAGATGAAGCTAACAAGATTTTTTGATTAGAATTTTCACGTAGCTTTAAATATTCAAGTATATTATTTACATTTAAATATATTCTATCTATTTATCCGGCGAGTTATATATAATTATCAAATATCGTTATCAATGTGTGGATGGTTCTAGCTACTAAATGCTTTATATGATATTTTTTGAAGGCCTTTTATATGGTTCAAGTCACAAGAGACCTATTGTTACATTATTCCACATGTTATTTGTTGATTTATTTTTGTATATTTCTAAACATTATATAAATACATCACATTTAATATAGCAATAATATTACTCTATTATGTATAATCTAATTAAATTAGAATTAAATAAAAATATATAGAACTAAAAATTTAGCCATGTTATTTCATTAATGTGAAATGAAAAATAATTATAATCCATATAAAATGTGATACCATTCTAAAATAACAATATATATTTTTTAATTACTGATTAAAAATATCTTAAATATACAATATCCTTTTACTTATTTTATTATGAATGATTTAAGGTATTAAAAGTTGAATCTTATTGTCGACCTCTTTGCATATAACCAAACTATTTTATATGAATGAAGATATTATTTTTTATAAAGGAGGTTCATTACATGAGTGTTAATGGCGCAATTTGACAAAATAAAACGAGCAACAACTACTATGCAGAATATAAAAATGTGGAAAAGATTGTGGACCAAATAATCATGTTTGTTCATTACATCAGTACAAGATTAGTTATTGAAAGTTAAACTCGTAATAAAGAAATCGGCAAAATAGTTTTGAATAGCAATAACAAATAATAAAATACGTAAAAGTTAGAAATTTCCTCAAAAAGACATTTTTATGCACTATTGAGAAATTAATATACTATTAAGGTATCACATAAAATTTTAATAAAATCTACTGACTATCTGTAACATATTTTACTTATATATAAAATTGTAAGTATTGGAAGGCAAATTATTTTATTCAGTTCGGTTGGTCCTTTTTATGTGGATTGATATTATAGTTGTGATGTTATCATATAATAACTTATTCTAAATAAATGTTTTTAATGAAGATAACACTCTCGATAATTTCAATAACGTTTAGGTTTTGTTCCTGAACGAGAATGTGAACTTTCATAGTCTTGACGGAAGCGAAGTTTAGAAGGAGTTTTATAGATTTTGAATTAAAAATAAATATATGTAATATACATAGACTACTATTATTTTGTTATTGGAAGCGGAACGGACACATATATTTACAAATAAATATCTTATAAAATAGAAAACATCTATAAAATATTGTTATTAGTGAATGACCTGATAAATCGAATTTTGACTACGTAATTTTTTTTAAATGATATTTTTTATATTTTAACGTTCGCATTTAACGTCTTGGGTGTTTAATTTTAATACAAAACTGGAAAAAATGCAGTTTATAATATATTTTGTTGTACCTTTGTACATACTATGACTTTTATTTTTTTACAATTTATCTATTTTTAGTCAGTGGAGTTATCAAGTTATTCACTTATAAGAATTAGTCAGTTATAAACTTATATGTTCTTAATAAGTGTTATTAATTATATATTTTAGTGTATCACGATTCTAACACAAAACATTGATAGAGAGTTAATATAAGAAAATTCTTTACATAGAAAAAGCATTTCTTTATGTAATAGATAATGAGTTGTTGCAATTTTATTTTATGGTAACCCCATTTGATAACGTACTTTGATCGTAAATAAATTAATATTTGATATACAAAAACTCAAGATACAAAATTAGCGTCTCAAAAGTGTCCTCAAAAAGAAGTGCACAATTCGAAATTGAATTGCGCTTTTTTCAAATCTTAGCTTTTCGGATAACTAAATTAAAACGCATGTTGTTTCTTTTAAAAAAAATATTTTATGCGGTGTACGTAAGTTCGAATTTGTGTTTAGACAATTAGAACTTTCGATTTTTGAATGTTATTCTTCAGTTTGACTCTCCTGAGTAAAAGTGTTCTATGATTTGACTTAAAACGTCAGATGTCGACGCCACTTTATGAAGAGATATATGTTAGGAAATGTGTATCTAAGTTTTTGTATATCAAAAAATGTTTAGACCACAGTTATTTCAAATAATATTCACTAAGTATAGCGGAAGTTCAGGTCAACACAAATATTATAAATTAGAAAGTTTTTGTATGCAGCCTATATTTTGTAGTAACATACCTTTTTTCACACTTGTACCTCTCGAGAAGAGCCGCGGCTAATAGCTAGTGAGCTATAATACCAATATAAAAACCAGTATCTAACAAAACGCTATTAGCAAATGTAATATTTCCATGGGTAGACAATAACTATCTACTTCATAAAAAAACGTGTGTGTACTTATGTACGCACGTAAGTTATACTTCTTTGGCGTAACAGAACAAAAATAGCTAAAGATTTCATCCCGTATGTCACAACTTTCTGTTCGTAAAAGGAATGCAGCTAACTTCATCATATAGCTTTCAAGTAACTTCATCATGTCGCTTTTTGGCTGTCGGTGTGCGCGCGCGACCTATATAATTATTCTAATATTTTTTCCACACGTGCCAAAAGAAGTATAACTTCAAAAATTGTGAGATTATTGTTCTTACGCGTATTGTTTTGCGCTCTTATATATATAAAATTACAAACTACGATATACCCGTTTCAACATAGCTAAGCTCACGCAATTCATTAAAATTTTACATCATTGACCCATAGATACGTAATAGATTAAAAAATTCATCATTTTTGGCACTTATTAAAACAAAAATATTAAAGCAAATGCAACTCAACAATGTTAAGCCTTTTTAATATAAAGTTAAAACAATAAAGTATATATTAAAATACAATCTATGTTGTCAATTTGTAAAATTTTGCTTGTATCATAGACACAGCGTAGCCGAAGCGTTATTTACAAGATGTTTTTTTTTTAATTTCTCTTTGTCAAATGACATTTTGCTTACGTCACAATCAATAAAATTCAACATAAATGGACTATGAGATGTTAGGAGGACCCAAACACAATTAAATAATTAAATATAAACATTCCGAAACATATTATTTTACTAATAACAACATCATCGTACTATATTCAAATAATTTAATAATTTAGCTATTGAATAAAAAACACTTAGAACATACAAGTCCAGCGCCATTCTATCCATTCCTCAAAACTGAATTTAATCATATAAATTAACCTGCTACTTTTTCAATCTAATATTTTAAATATAATATGGCGCTCCTAATACCTCTTTACTCCAATGCTAAAAAACATACAGCCGAATAGCTATACATTTTTTTAAATTCCGACACCGGCGAAGAACAACATTATAACTCAGTATTGTGACAATTCAAATATGGAAATTAATTTCCTATACATTTATAATTGATAGAATAATAAGTTACAATGTTGTTGCAGGTGCCAATTTGTTTTTTTTTTCTTAATTATTATTACCGAGATGACGTAAACAAGAATCCTTTATGGCATCACAAGGGGGCTTACATAAGATATTCTAATATAGTTGAAAGAAATAAATCTATAAATATATATAGGAATCCATATATATTTTTATATTATGGTAGTATAACATTTATTCTTCAACGATTGCAGAATAACATCTTGTGTAAACCCCTTGATATTTTCCAGAACATTCCATAAATCAATATGCAATATTATTATGTAAGTATTTTGACTATCTCATCCTTGAGCTATCATATTGTTTTCATATGTCATCTTTGAGAATGCCGGATGACTTTCGCGCCATTTGTTTCTACCAAATCACACATTTGTCCACGGGATTCATTCTAGAACGTTCTGGACAGTTGAACTCTTGAGAAAATTCTGGTAGATTGGATATAGGTCCGATGACTCTGTATTTGGCAACGGTATGGTCGTCTTTTTCTATTTGCATTTTTGTCGATTCTTTTGTCATGGCTGAACACCACACCTAGGAAGTACAAATCGTTTGTTAAATATTTAAAAAGATAATGATTAGTACATTAAAATATATTTATGAATAAAAATATATATTATATACAGATAGATTATAAATGCGTAAATTAAACAAAACCAACAAAAAACAAAACCCAAATATGTAGGGAAATATCGATATGGGGATAACTTATACCTTGAATTATCTACCACTGGAAATCCATAAATATTTTAAGATATAAATTATAGTTTTTAATTAATTAAATAAGTGACCCAATATTAATAAAATAAATAAATAAAAGCAATTTTAGACTTCAATAAGGTTTCAATAAGGAACCAAACAACTAAAATGGTTCAGTCGTTATCAAGTGATGAACAAACAGAATATCACTTTTATTTTTATTATACATATATAGATATTAGAGTATATATTATAACTAGTATTGGTCGCGGCTCCGCCCGCGTTCAGATGACCGAAAATCAAATTCTTATGTTTTACATATTAGTATAGTCTTACATTGCAGTTTTTGTATTTTTTCTCAGAAATGAGATAGTTTGCCGCGGTAAAAAGTATCCTATATGTTGACCCGGATAACCAGCTATCACCTAACCAAATTTCATCAAAATCCCTCCAGTGGATTTTCCGTGATGCGATAACAGACAGACACAAAAATTCTAAAAACTATAGATTCGGCCTCTGCATCGATAATAATGTCTATTTCAATAAGTGTCTTTTTCCAAAAAATGTTTAATGTACAGATTCGGCTTAGTTAGAATTTTATTATATGTATAGGTGAAATAACACAGACACCTTACCTGAGCAAAAGATATAAAAAACAGTTGACGATGATTGTATTTCAATCCAGGTAGTGTATAGTTGACTTTAGCTTTCTTGCTGTACTCGAGGTAGGCGTGGAACGAAGCTTTCAGACCACCATTATCGGCTATGTTCTCACCTAAATAATAAATGAAATATCAACACTATAACATTTTTGTATAATGTTTTTTTTTATAATTTTTTTGCGGATTTATTTTAACTTTTTGATTTTTGGTTCCCGACGTTTCTAATGCTTTACACCAATCATGGTCACGGGAGAGACTTCGATCAAGCATTCGAAACGTCGGGAACAAAAAATAAAAATAAATGCGCGAAAAAATGATAGTTTTATATAAATATCCAATTGCGTAAATCTATGAAAGAATATATTTTATTTTTATTTTTGTATTACTTATTAAATATTTTTTTTAACTTCAAATATTTTCTTGTAATTATCCGAGTATGTAAACCAATATACATAGTTAATGTAAACCAATTTCTAATAACCGTATTTCAACTTTAACTGTATTTTATAATTATTTATTTATTCCTGTATCTTACCAAGAGTTTGTTTCCCATTTAAATGTTGTCCTTCTATCTTATAAGTCGAATACTGTCGCTGGATACATTCTGTCCGCTTCTTAAATCTCAATATGGTCGCGTTGTTCCACCACCGGTTGAGATTGCCAAATCTAAATAATATTAAATGTTTATATTATTATAATAATAATAATTAATTTTTAATTATACATGTGAAAGTTTATGAGGATGGGTGGATGGATGTTTGTTACTCTTTTACGTCAGAACGGTTAAACGGATCTGGATGAAATTTGGTACAGAGATAGATTATAGTATGAAATAGCATATAGTTTACTTCTTATCCCGGAAAAAAGTACGTTTCCCGTGGGATATTGTTATTGGGGCGAACCGGAAGCAAAGCGAGGATGAGTCGCTAGTGTTTCCAAAAAGAGGATACATTAATAAGTAATCCTTTTAAAGCCCTAAACATACTCGTATTTATTTATACATAAACGAGTTAATTTTACTGGTAAACTTAGAACATTTTTCATATTTTCTTCTTTCTATACCTACTATAAAGGTAGTCGTAGCTCAATGGTACCACGTTCGCTTGGGAAACCGAGTGAAGCGGGCTGAATTCCCGGGTCTCGCACTTTACATATTCTTATGCGCGACTCATTTCCGACATGATTTTCACTTGTCCTACGGTGAACACAAACATCGTGAGGAAATCTGCATCTCTGAGAGAACCTAACAAGTTTTCGAAAGACATGTGAAGTCCGCCAACCCGCACTTGGCCAGCGTGGTGGACTATGGCCTGATTCCCCTCGTACTGAAGGGAGGCCCGTGCCCAGCAGTGGGACGTTAAAAAGGAATTATTTTGCTATTTACTATTATGTTATATTGTTATGAACCTCCACTGCCCCGGGGGACATTATTAGAACCGGATTTAATAATGTGGAATCACTTGTAAATTTTGCGTTTCCTGTACAATTTGTTATTTAGAGTTATCAAAACCTACCTATCATATTCTCTTCCTTGGTCATCGAAGGCGTGAGTCAGTTCATGTCCCATAACAACCCCCATAGCGCCATAGTTCACACTCTTAGGATTGTCTCCATCGTAAAATGGTAGTTGCAAGATACCAGCAGGAAATACTATTTGGTTTTTAGTTGGTGTGTAATAAGCGTTTACTGTTGATGGTGTCATGCCTGGAATATGTATATTTTTACGTGATATGAGTTTTTGTATTATTTTGTTTTAGAAATAATTAACGTTGGAAATACTAAACATTTAAAGTATTCTTTTTTCTTTAGTTATATTTCTTAGAAAAATATTATTAACAATTTTATACTTTTACTGACATTCAAAATATCTTTCGTGACAGTCAGTTTTATTTATTATATTGTAATTATTTTTCCTGCTTTTTAAAAATAAAAACAAAACTCTGTATATCACAAAATATCATCACATTAAGTACTAAAAAGTTAAAATAGAATAAGTCCACAAGTTTAACATAAAGATATACAAATACACACAAAAAAAAACACAATTGAGACTTAACTTAACGAGATTGAAAAAATGTTATTTAATAGTGACATTAACTTAAATCGCTATAAAATAAAAATAATGTTTCTAAAAATCCATTAAGTTGAAACTCACCCCACTTCGTTTTATTAACGGGCTGGTCTAACTTCCTAAGATCGTGTTTAAGACTGAAAACGTTGTAAGCGATATTGTTATCGAAATATTCATTCGGTTTCACTTCTAACTCTTCGTACTGCTTGTCTAATTCTTCTTTATGCAGAATGTAGTCGGGAAAGCCTAAAATTAATGAAAAAGTGGATATCTTTAAATAATTTGTTAAGTCTCAAGACCGAGTTCGCTCATTGTGCGAAAAAAAAGCTCCTAAATGCATTTAGGCAAATGTCCATAATATGTAATTTGTTTCATAACTCTCATGTTTATAGGTTGCCGATTATAATTTCTGGAAAATTTACAGTCTGTAAATGAAAATTTCGTTAAATTCGATTAGCCATTTTGTAGATTAGGAGATTATATAATTTCGTGATAAAAAGTAATATTAATCAAAACAGAAAAGTTCTATATTTGTAAGCGAAAGTCTTGTCATAATTGATTCATCCATTTTGGAGATTAGCCCGGACAATGAGCAGGACTTGGGAAAAATAATTAATTTTAATATCACAGATATTTCATTATTTTCATATGTAACCTATATGTTAGTATGTTTAATACCTATCATATCAGTAATCGCGTCAGCCTTTGTTTCAGCAGCATCCCTCGTCTCAGCGTCCATCCAATCTAAGTCTTTGAGATGTTTCTTAAATGCAGCTCGTATATTATCTATCATTATCTCGCCTTGTGTCTTCGCTTCGCCGTGGAACACTTCCCTAACAAACATTGCTCCGACGGCAAAACCTATTAAAATAATTATATTATAGTAAATGTTTTAATGTAATGTGGTTTTGGAAACTGAGTCACATGAGATCAAAACCCTCAAACTTCTGAGATTTTTACGAGTAAACCTCCTTTATAGGGTTCCGTACCCGAAAATGCCAATTGGACCCTATTACTAAGCCTCCGCTATCCGTCCGTCTGTCAGAGGATCTGTATCTCATGAACCGTAATAGGTAGAGAGTTAAAATTTTCACAGAATGTATTTCTATTGCCGCTAAAACAACAAATAATAAAAACCACAATAACGGATTTTTAATTATTACATTTATTTATGTATGTACCACAAAGAAAAATATACGTAAACGAATAGAAATCCGGTAGTTTGTGTTAAAGGAAGACTACCTCTATAAGAGATCTCTTCCAGTAACCTTTGAGCGTGAGACAAATAAATAATGATTAACTTAAGCGGTGTAGGAAAATCATTGTAAGTAACGTAAATGGTTTTTAAAACCTAATTTCGCCTAATTTGGCCAACGAAAAGAGCCTAATTACTAACCCCCGTGAAATTCAAAGCTCGCACGTTACTAATGTGGAACCACAAATATTAAAAATGTAAATATAATATAATAAATAAATACCTATATTATGTTAGGACATGAACACACATCACCATCTAGTTCCATGGTAAGCTACGAAGCTTGTGTTATGGATACCAGATAGTTGATACACTACACATATATAACTTTTAAATACATACATATTATTATAAAATATAAACATCCATTACTGGAGTACAAACATTCGTGCTCATCACACCAATGAATACCAGCGGGATTTGAACCCGCGACCGCCGTCACAACGAGTAGGGCTACTACAAACTGAGCCAAACGTATCGTCAAAAAATGACGAAAAATGACGAATGTAGTACTAAATAAAGTACAAAACTACTGAAACAGGTGAATATATCACTATAAAATATTTTAACTTACCAATAGCATTATTAGTATCCGTAACACAATATCTCCAAGACTCCTCCGTGCCTTCGGAACCGAAAAGGGCTTTTCTCAATATTTTCGTTGCGTCTCGGAAGGATTTGGAGAGATAAGTTGATAGAGATCGTGACACTTGCCACATCATATAGCTCGTGAGTGTTCTAAAAAATTATACAATTTACTTTACCACGATCGGATATTACATTTATAGATCAGCGGTTCCCAATTTTTCTTGGCCACGGAATCTTAATTAATCATTTTTTTATCGGATCCCCATTTTGATAATAACTAAACTGACATGTTGTAGTTAGAATACTTTCTTGTTTGAAAGAACGACGAAAAAGAAGAAATTGAAAGAACAAATCATAAATGAAAAATAATAATACTTGTTATATGTATATATTTATTGTACCAAAAATATAACCTAACTATTTAATGTGATGAATGATTTTTTTTACATATTTATTTATAACAGCAATAAAATGAAGCTTAATTTCTGAAAACGTCTTATTTAACTCTCGAACGAAACTCGGAACTTCCCAAGGAACCCTAGCGTTCTGCGGACCATCATTTGGGAACCACTCATAAATTGTCGATTTGGATTATTATGTAACAGACTTTATATTGCTTAGAGTTTGTATGATAATAATCTTTATTAGTTATTTGGAATTACAAATCAGTATATAAATAATATAATCTAGTATATTTTACTAAAATTCAGCAATAAATTCAAAAATCAAAACACATTATGAATTATGTTAATCTCAAATTAATTTTCAATTAACCATCTCTTCAATGTACAGTTTCAATTCTGTAAAACACGGCGCTTATATCATATCTTTTGGATATCTATTATATTATTATTAATTTTGGGGCTAGTTTTATCTTTAGAAACAATTTGAAAAATAGAACTGAACAGGAACTCGAGTAATAACTCAAATGAACACAACAAAAACATTATATGGATTCTAGCGACTCATCCTCGCTTCGTTTTCTCGTGCTACGTGATTCTTTAAATTAACATATTTTTTTTATTTATGAACCGATTGAAATAAAACAACTAAATGTTATGTGAAGCTAACCAAAATACGTTAGTGAAAACCGCACCCAAATCGGTTAAGTTGTAATTAGCTCGTTTTGTGATTAGCCCGCACAAACGCATAAACAAACAAAGAGACAAAAATTCTAAAAAAACATTGTTTTGGGTTCCATTGTGTTAATAAAGATAATAGTAGTTTTTCTGAAATATCTTCCATGTACAGACAGCGATCAGTTACAATTTTATTATAAAATGTCTAAATAGTGTGGAATTAAATCTTTTTTAAGTCCCCTAGTTAGTCTATTTTAATTATCGATAAAAAATGTCGATCACGACGATCGATTACTATAGATAACGAAAAACAAATAAAAATAAAAAAAAACCTTTCAGTATTTATAATAGCATTCTCTTCTCTTGTACAGATCTATGTAAAAATCCAATTATTTAGGCTCAGTCTAGAGATTGTTTTAAATGATATGTTAGTTAAAAGGTTTCCACTGCGTAAGCACATCATGGATATTTAGATACATTGAACATAATAAAAAAAATACAACGGATTCGAGAACCTACTCCTTTTTTAAAATCGGCTGAAAATCAGTTACCACTTACCAGTGATAATGACGATGTCATTACATCTAACAACTCCCCTTCACTAGATTCCTTTTGTGTTTATAATAAGTACTATATTAGCGACTTACTTGCTTCTCTTGGGCGGTTGGTTCGCTAGGTACCTAAAACCCTTTATGTTACTTCAGGTCGTAACCTATCTATGAACTCATCCAAATCCATCCAGTCATTTCAGTCACAAGCAGTAAAAAACCATACACACATGTCACACATACAAACATTTATAACAATGGTGTGATTGCAATTATATATTAATAAAAGGATAAATTATTTCAATAAAAAATATACAATTTTTGCACTATCAAATAATGCAAGCACTTACTTTTGATCTTCTTCGGTTTTACTGTACTTCCTTAAAACTCTCGTCAGATTCTTAAAATATTCCGGCGCGTACACAACAATTCTTTCATTATCTAATATCTGAAAAATGATACTTTCTTAAATTTAAGCGATTACGATTATTTATTTAACATTAGTTGTTATTATTATAAATATTACAATTATTTTAAAATATTAATTATTTATTTAAGCTATGTTATTGTTTTATATATAATTTAAAAGAAGTTAAATTAGGTATTAATTTGGATGGCTATTATTTAAAGTTAAAATATTTATTTTAAAAATCTGAAAAATGGTTAAAAATAATCTATATAATAAATATTACGTTGAAGAAATTTATGAATAAATATTTCTACAGGGTTTTTATGATTGTTTTTTTTTTAATTTGGACATACTGACGGGTCAGCTGGTACTAATAACAATATACATACATAAAACTTTTTAACCCACCCTTAGGAATGATATACTTTGTTCCTACTTTTTTTTCATAAAAAAAATATGACCACCCAAATAAACAGGCGAATTAAGTGCCTCCTTTTCGAAGTCGATCAAAAATAGCATATTAACAGTCGCAACCGCCAAGCTTTCGTACTGCGTAAATAATAGTTAGTGTTAGTTAAATTTAAAGTTATTTATTTACATCAACAATTTCAACAACTTACAGTTCTATTAACAAGTTTGAAAGCATCATTGAAGAACATCGACCAATTTAAGAACGGTGCTTCCTTCTGCCATTGCTTTATTGTATACGGGTTGTATAAGCCCTCTTCATCACGTCTATCTTCTGCTGGTATAGTTATATTTGCAAGCTCGGTTTCGAATTGAATCACTTTATTCATTTGAGCTTTTGCCTCAGATTTGTTGGCGCCCAACAAAACGCATATACGTGTCATATAATCTAGGTATGCGTCCAATACTTTTTTGTGGGCTGTTTTGTTTAGGTAATTGTCTCGTGTCGGCAAATTTAGACCGCCTTGGTCGAGCTGGAATGAGTTTTGCTTAGTTTTTATATATTGTATTATATAAGTGAAACACTGTATCATTGTTACATTTTCACATTCAAATGGCTTAACAGATTTTAATGGAATTTTTCAAGGATCTAGAAGGCATTAAGGCATACTAGGTACTTTCTATTTTTGCTCGCCTTACCATGCGAGCAGAATTATGTACAAAATTAATATATTTAGTTAGGATATGATTTGGATATAAATATTTTTTCTTATTCTAACTGAAAATGGTACAACATAGTCACAAAATAACACAAGATCCTATACTGCAAGTCACGATTATAATGGTCTAAAAGGGTTTATGACGACATAACGTAATGCTAAATAAGTCATTTCAATATAGTTTTTAGTGCTCAGTAACAGTGTAAACGATTGCACAATGCTCCTTGTTTATACCTCAAGGTTTGATTAAAATAAACCACGGTGTTGTGGCAAGCAGAAAACACAGTTCCCTCCCAATATGCGTTCACCCTGTCGTGGTGGGAGAGCTCATTAGCGTCCGGCAATCCAGCCGGGCGTTAAGCTAAGAAACGTACTGGGAGTTAGTCCACTTGGGTGGGCGGTGTACCATGCGGGTTGCTAGCAACTAGACTGTTGGAGCAACCCAAAGGTTGTTGTGGTCTGCTTCAGCAGGCCTGCCGTCGACTCGTTGTGGTTGAGAGTACCAAAGTGATCCTGCGACGGCCCATTAAGACGGGAGAGGTTCCGTTGGGGTTTAGCGTTTAGTACTGGCTTTGCCCGTGAGTCCCATATAACCACTTATATGTATGCAGGTGGTATGCCTAAATGTAATGTCCCAACGTCAAAAAAGCAGACAACACAGTTAAGAATAAACAAAACCTTCCCCATTCATCAGTAAAGATTATGCGCAAATATAAAAGATATTAAAAGAAAGAAATAACTTCTTCTATTACTACTCACAACTATCACATGTTTCGAAGAATTTCTATCATCTTCTGTAACCGCCCAGTTGAAGAGACCACCTAAGTTGTACCTAAAATCCAATTTTGTATAAGTAGGATAAGATACAAAATAAAACTAAATTATTCTATTATAAGGCTATTCAGCTTACGTGTTTTGCACATCTTGAAGTAACTTTTGCAAATCCCATTTGTGCTGTTTTACTAATGTATTTGAGAGTATATGCCAGCCACCAAGTTTCTTTATAATGTCTATTAAAGGTTTTTCCCCTAACTTTTCTATAGTTTCGTTCGTGTCTATACAAGCGTCATAGTACACGCGAGCTTTAGCCTCTGCGTCCCTTGGGTCAGTTGTATTTACTTTCTCTGTAAAGTCCAAATTGGGTTTTTGTTATTCACACGCAATAGAACTTTTGTGTTTAAATATTTTCATACTTCAGAATATAATTTTCATAGTAACATTGTTAACTAAGAAATAATCACTTTAAATATTAACTGTAAAAAAGTAGTAGCTTTTTAAAGATTTGATATCCAATAAGTGCCAGTGTTAAATATTTTTCTAACATGCTTGGAAATAATTTACAAACTTTTATTTCAGGTATGGATTTCAGTTTTAAAACATACACCCCCATGTTGTTCTTTAATGCGATACTCCCTAGGGGTCGCAATTCCCAAGTTCCAGAGCTCTACATAAATAATCCAGCCAAACATTCAATAACATATACTTTTTAAAATATGACGTAAATCATAAGTGGAAATTCACGGAAACCGATCTATATTATATGTATATTGTATATGTACATTATACATACATAACTATATGTATAAGATTTATACTGTGCTATTAAAGTTTTAAGCTTCGTTTAAACTTACACATGGGAAAACCGTCCCTAATATAACTCACGTAAAAGGTTTTTGGCGTGTACTCCTTTAATCGATACGCTACAATCCATTTCACGCATGTGCAATTGTTTGCTAAACTAATAACCATGTTATTCTCAAATCATCCGAAAATCAACGCTCGAATTGTAATTTACACAAATCTCAACAATAACGTACGGTGATAAACGAATTTGCAAAGTTACTCTAATTCGAATAAAGTACACTGGCATATGGAAGTGTGGAAAAGCAATAACAATTTGTCGAAACGTTTAGCGAATTTCGTGGCGGGTAAAGAATAGGAAGATTATAATAAATATCGAATAATTCGAAATTGTCTTGAGAGATATAAGATATTAAGCAAAAATGATCAAAAACAATAGACTAATAAAAATATTTTTTTAAATAAATTAGGGTATTACTTAGATTACAATTTTATGTGTACTAAAAATATACTCGTACATATTATACCTGGGTGACCCAGCTTCGCTCGGCGGTTTTTTGTTTTTTTTTTGGGAAAAATTGTGTTTTTTTTTCAGAAAGATACCTACCTATATATGTAGATAAACTTATAAAGCAAAACTTTATCTAAATGCAAAATTTGATCCAAATCGTTAAAGCCGTTTTCAAGATACACGGAATAAAATATACACATATTATATACACATTTTACACAAAAATTGCTCATTTAATATGATATGATTCAAATATACTTTTGACATTTTGATTGATATTAATTTTTAGTAAGTCTGTGAGGCCCTATCACTATACTATATACAAACTTGTTCTTATAATTTTACCAAAACCAAGTTTAACTATTACCAAAACAAAATTAATAATAATACAGTATAAAATATTAAGTAATATAACAATATATAATAAACCTTACCTAATGCCGATCTGATGATAAGTTGGTTCTGCAGTTCTATCTTGCTAAAGATACCCCAGCTAGATTTCCCCTCTGGTATGGGGTTATTTCTGATCCACCCCCCACAGGCAAAGTCATAAAAATCGTCACAAGGGTCCTTAGTTACGTCTAACGCTCGGATTACTTCGCTAGCCGTATAAATACATGAACTTGACAAACACACGCTGCTTTCTTCTGAAATAAATACGTAGATTAAATATATATGTTCATATTAATGCTATTAGTTTGTGTTGCAAAAGTTTAAGAAAACTATCTTGGATCTTCTATCTTACTTATATTATAAATGTTCAGAATTCAGGTGGATGTTTGGATGTTTGTTACTCAATCACGCCAGAACAGTAGAACGGATCTGGATAAAATGTGGCACAGAGATAGAGTCTGGAATAATAGATAGGCTACTTTTTATACCGAAAAATGCTGGTTCCCGTGGGATAGATTTGTTTTTGTTATCCATATTATGTTATCCATACTATGTTAACTATATATATTTGTATAAATATATAGTTAATATAAAAATGTTCTAAACTGAGCTGTCATAGGTTATTACTTATTTATTTCCTTTTTCTCCATGTTATGCTAAAATTGTAAAGTAAATTATGTTGAAATGACACACTTCTACAAAAACATTTGAATATTAATAGTAATTGACCGGATATTGTTTGTTTTGATAATCCTTCAAGCTGAAACGGCAGGACGGGTTTAAATAACATTTAATACACAGATATACTGTGAAATGGAGTAACACATAGGCTGTTGTTTGACACTTGGGATACACCCAAATGTATTAAGGGTGAGTCACAAATTGTGTAATAACTAATATTTCCACAAAATATAATCAAGCTAAAGCTTATTTAATAAGACATAAATAAAAAGCTCAAATACAATATTTTATGTCTATAAAAAGGGTATGAATTAAACCAAACATCTATACATATAATAAAATTCTAAGTCGAATCTGTACATTATTATTTTTTTTGGAAAATCTTATTGAAATAGACATTATTATTGATACAGAGGCCGAATCTATCGTTTTTAGAATTTTTGTCTGTCTGTTTGTTACCGCATCACGGAAAAACCACTGGAGAGATTTTGATGAAATTTGGTATGATAATAGCTGGTTATCCGGGTCAACATACATGATACTTTTTATTGCAGGAAAATATCTCATTTCTGAGAAATCTATACTATAGAGCGAGGGTGAGTCGCTGGTTGTGAATATGATAAGAATTCCGTAACAAAAAAAAATGTTATTTATATACGTAACAACAGGTGGGTGCGATCAATATGAACTATCCAAGTCAATTGTGTCAATTGTTCTATGTTTACGAAACACGAGCTAAGTATAACCTATACCTATACCGTTGGGCTTGGCTCATGGAATGGGAGACAAAATCGATATCAGACAAGAGGCGAACCACACTGAATTACCTTAAAAACCTAAAAATGTTAGCCACACTATATTGCTTTTTTTTCATGTATTCAAAATATGTATTTACTTAGTAAATAAATGTACTATATAATGTAATTATAATTCAACAATATATATATATTTCTTATGTAAGTATATGTAAATTAAAAGTTTTAGATATATGTACATATTTGAGAATCAAAAAAAAATAAATAAAGAAAAATAAAGAAAGGGCAATACAACCTTTTGTACCTTGTGTATGGGTTGTTGGCATCATGTTTTTTTCGCCAGTAATGAAACTAAGATTATAATTAGAAGCCTATGTATGTAAGAATTCTATCAAAGAAGAAACGAACTCGCTAAACCGTAACTAACAAGAGATATTGTGGTTGTTATTCCGTCTAGGGTTCCATACTCGCAGGGTGCCAACGGAACCCTGTTACTAAGCCTCCGCTGTCCGTCGTCTGTCAGAGAACTGTATTTCATGAACCGTAATAGGTAGAGAGCTGAAATTTTCACAGAGTATGTATTTCTATTGTCGCTATAATAACAAATAATAAAAATAAAAAAATAATCGTAATCGATCATTGAAGTAATATACTACATACATAGAGTGCAAATTCCGATTCGCACTTGACCGATTTATATCAGTATACTTTTTGGCATAAAGTTACATAGCCCTACTGAAATCTAATTAAAAAGTAATAAAAAAATATTTTTTCTTAAAAAAAACTTCCACTTAGTTTCTCAAATTTAAAAAAGTATTGAACTATCGTATCCTTTCATCTCTATAAATATAACATATGCAAACACAAATAACTTTAATACGTTTCACGACCTTGTTTCAAGGGGGCGAATTTCAGCATTGACCTTGAGCTTAACAACCCAGAGACTCGATTATATTTCACTTACTAAAACCGCGGCGCCATCTGTTTATTAAGTAACAAAATATCCTATTAAATACGCCATTATGTAGAATTCTCCGTAATAAAACGTTGCTATATTCATTAAATGTCATAAAACGTTTATTCTATTTGCATAGTAAATTATTCTTGTTTTAGACTGGTCGTTAGCAAGCAAAGTATTTTTAAATTAGTTTTGTACCTGGTATATACGAGTATGTATAGGTATACGAGTATGTATGTCTGATAATTTAATTAGGAAAATAATATATATATATATATATATATAGTTATAAGTAATTTTATAGTTAATTATAATATTAAAACATAGCTGCTCTGTTACGTTTAATTTACTCTACTCATAATCATAATTCTATTATTTCATCTTCTTATTTGAATTTCGTTGTTTCATTAACCATTTTTTTTTAAAAGCTCAATAACTCGTCAGAGTATTATTAATTGCTCAGTAACGTAAAAGCTCACGTAGTTTATAGTGAAGTGGAACGTCAAATCATTATGGAACCGAAATTAGTACAAATTAATCAGTTAAATAAGCAAAGTTAAGATTACAAAACTTTGTTCGGTAACGCATTTCCATAAGTTATCAATCTACTACTGACTTATATACTTAGATACTTAACAGTAGCCAAGGTGTTAAGGTCTCAGATTTATCTGTATATATCTATCATCCAAATCCATTTAACAATTTTAGCATGAAGGAGTAACAAACATTCACAAACTTTCGCATTTAAAGCGGTCCAATAAAATGTTTTACGTATAGATATACAAGTATATATACAAGAATATATAGTAAGATTAACCTTTAGGCTCAGGCTGGTAGCACGGGGGTACAGGAATATTTGCAGTGCCGCGAACAGTCAGTAGTATAGAGATGGTCATAAGAACAGCTACTAGGAGTATCGCAGTTGTGACGAGTAACACTCGCTCTAACTTCGTGCGCTGATGCCATCCTATAAATGACACACCCTGAAACAATATAAACGTTTTTTATTACTTTATTTCAATTTCAATAGCGATATCTTTGCTTTGCTCGGGTACGTCTCAAGACGCCTTTTCTAGGTTACTGACTTCATTAAAAACTATGATTTCTGAAACTAAATACATTTTTACCGAAATATAAAATAGATTATGGCAATCGGTGGTAATTTAGCTTCTTATCAGTGAATGAATTTCGGAGAATTTCCCACGTAAATAAACATACAAACTTTCAAACTTCACCACTTTATAATATTAGTATGGATTATTATGCCATAAAAAAGAAGGCCGCAAGTGCGTCAAAGTTGATTTTGAGATACTTGAAGTTTTGTCTTAGTACTTAATAGTAGTTTCGACGTAGTTACGATGAAAATGGTTATGGTATCTCCGGATTAGTATTATTTATATTATTAGTATTATTTTGTTATTCTTACTTTATACCCAAGCAATGTATATTAATTTGACAAGTATCTACATAAAATTTCCCCTATTCTTTGAAGAAAGGAAACAATACAGATTATTGTTAAATCTAGAATAGTACCATAAACAACAAATTACGCTACTATTTTTGACTTTGATACTATTTTGGCGGAATCCGTCCACATAATTCTTTAGTCTGAGTAGATAGCTTAACATAAACAATTAATGATGTGGTTGTTTTTAACTCAAAGTATGATATAATCATATTATCATTGTTGATTGGATTACAATAGCTTGTATAATGTACAGCAAGATAACATTATATTACGAGTACTTATATAAAAGGTAACTTCTTATTTCGGTCGGTTACAAAAATTAGAACTTGGACTTTACATGGGATTCGGGGAACGTATTCCGTAGAACCTGAACATATAACATATAACTACTGGGAAAGAAGCAAAGTACGTCGTATTACGTACATATTATAATCACAAATAAGAATAGCAGTATATAAAATCTAAAATTTAAGTATTTTTAAATTCAGCGATTAGAGACTCCGTCAAAATGTAGGGCATCGCGTCATGGGGGTCACGTCCCCGAGGAGGTCATGTATATATATGAATATATACATATAGTAAGATAATTTGAAAATAAGGTCTATTTACGAAACAGACTTATAATAAATTAAAATATGAACTATATAACAAGCGTTACAATATGTTCGTTTTAGTATACATTTAATTTTACTTACATTTTCGACGCCTTTAATGATTTGAGACTCGAAAAACGTTAGAGATGAAAGATGATGATAAATAACAAAAATGTATAGAGCAGTGATATTTTATTGTGATATACGAGTATTTAAGTATTAAATCTAATGAGCAAAAAGTCTTTTCAAGACACAGAAATTGGCGACAAATTTTTTTTAAACACCCATCTAAGGACCCTTTGGTTTTTAAAGCGAACCTAACGATACCTTCACTGTCGCAATCTATCAAGCCGTTTGGAAGATACTCACGAGGTAATAAAGAAATTTACAAACAAACAAACATACATGCATATATAAAAGATACGCGCGAAAACCATAAATTTCATTGGCAGTTGGGTAAATAACACAAATTTAAGAAAAACGTCCGGTAAAATAACATACTTATAAGTTATTACAAGTCGAGCTTTATTTTTCATTTGAAATTCAAAGAAGCGAAAGCAATTTGTTTGTAATAAAATACATTCTCAACTATGTATTCGCCTTAAACTTGACCGAGTTATAAGATCAAAGAGTCTTTATGGTGCGGAAAATATTCTCTAGGTCACCGCACAAGCTTTGGGGTATAAACATTTAGAGCACAATTCATTATCAGAAGATTAGTTTGAGCTTTTCGTTCTCAATAAATTGAAATTGAGATATATAATATCAATAACTATTTGTATTGTGTAATATTCATTAATTTGTACGTAATTATTTGAAATTATTTTAAGCTAAAAAAAATATACCTACTGCGTATGATCTCCGAATTTGTATTTACATTATTGATCGTCAAAATGTTGTAGGCTTGAGATATGTATATTATATTAAATACAAAAACCAGGTTCTAATTTCGTTCAGATTAATGCCAACAGCTATTTCATATTAGAATAGAGCTTAAGAAAATTAGCTAATTTTTTTAGCCGACTTCCAAAAATGAGGAGGTTCTCAATTGGTTGGAATCTTTTTTTTTAATTGAAATATATGACATTTACTGCAATAGAAAAGTTTCACTCAATTCAATCTAACCGTTTTCTTGAATGATATTAATAAGTTCTTATCCAAAAAAAAAATATTTTTACAGTTTTTTAAATTCATTACAGTTTTAAGATATGTTAAATTTTAAAAACCGAATTTTTTTTTCTTAATTATTTATTTTATTTTAGTTTTATGTTTTATAAAGGTTTTTTTTTAATTGAACCCCGCTTGGCAAACTTAAAATTTTATGATAACAAAAATTTATTTAATTTTAAATGAATACCCATTCATGGACGGACTTTTTTATAGGAAAATGTATGAAAAGAAACAATAGTTGTACACTGTTGTAGACATTCGATTAACTGTGTAAAGGCTCCGGGGCAGAGGCTGACTGCTACCGGACGCGTCCCCGGGTGGCGGATAGGGGAACACCACTCGCACCTGTTTGGACCCGACAGTAGCTTGTGGTACCGGAGCAATCCGGCGCGGACCAACAGCCAGGAGGGAGGGTTGAGGGAGCGGCGTTAGGAGGGCGCCGTCTCCTTCTTGGAGGTAGCGCGGTGTCTCCGGCCGTTTCGCGGTAGGAGGCGCTGCGCGGGCCACACTGCCGGGGCTAGCCCGTCGGTGCGGCGGCTGGAGCGGGGCCAGTTCGGTGGTCCTGCGTCTGGCGAGGGATGTCGGCAGCCATTTTGGTACTGAGGTGGGCCGACGGTAGGGGGGCCGCGGGGGAAGAGGAGTGTCGGTATGGCGATGCGCCGCTCGTCCCTATCTCCCGCGGCCTAGCGGGGCCACCACCGTTGATGGTGGACGCGGTGGGGCTGCAGGGGAAGGGGAGTGTCGGCGTTGTCGCATCCTCTTCTCCTGCAGCCGTTTGCGGTTGGGCTCGTTTTCGGGCGTCTTTGGGAGGGGGTTTTGCCCAATTTGGGTGGGGAATTATTTTAGCAGGTTGCCCACTTCGGTGGGCGGTGTTTGTGTGGTGTGGGGCTGCTCCGGGTACTTCTCTGATCAGCAGAGTGGACTTAGGAGCGGCCTCACTTCTTAGGTTGCAAGTCTTCCCATAATGGGGTGGTCCCGCTTGGGGCGGCCTCATGGTTGGTGGCTTCGGCCAACCGTCGGGGCGTCGCGGTTGTATGCGAGAGCGATCCCGTGGAGTCCCACATGGCGGCAGAGGGGGAAAGTTGGGTTTTAGTGGGTATGCCGGTCTCATTAGCCGGAGAGTCTCCACATAACCACCCCGAGGGAAGTCGGGTGGTATCCGTAATAGGATTTCCCAACTATAAAAAAAAACTGTGTAAAGGCTATGAAAATTAAACTTTTAATAATTTCTGTATCTAATTTACTCATTAAGAAGTTAAAATTTGGCACCAATATCGTTACCGTAAGTGCCTACATTAAACCGCCAATTTATAATAAGACTGTATTAAATTTTGTTTCAAGATAATTAAATTTGCGTTCGTTGCTCCACCGTCTAGGTAGTGAAACCTAATATTCACTGGAGTAAAAGTATATATTTAAAAAACATATCTATCTATAGGTACATATAATAAAATTCTAAGTAAGCCGAATCTGAACATTAAATATTTTTTGGAAAATCTTATTGAATTAGTTATTATTATCGATACAGAGACCGAATCTATAGTTTTTAGAATTTTTGTCTATCTGTCTGTTGCTCACACACATTGCATGTTGCATCAGTGAATAACCACTGGAGAGATTTTGATAAAATTTGGTATGGTCAAAGCTGGTTATCCGGGTCAACATATAAAATACTTTTTATCCTGGGAAAATATCTTATTTCTAAGAAAAAATACAAGAACTGTAATGTAAGAGTATCATCATCATCATGTTCAGCCTGCAATGTAAGAGTATACTAATATGTAAAAGCTAAGATTTTGGTTTTTGGTCATCTGAGCCGCGGGCAATGCAAGTGTTCAATAATATATGAAATATGAGAAAATACGTACCGTAGTTTTCATAGATAATGTTGTCGATCCTGTCCTTTATTTATGAGCTAAAACTATTTCATATTTAACACACAACGTTTCACTACTAAATCTGATCGATGAATAGATGTTACCCTATTGTAGCTCAATAAACTTTTATTATATCTATAGTACATGCGATCTCTTTGTATATGCTTATATCGGGTCACAGTGTAAAAATATAAGAGGAAAACTAAATGTAAAGAGGAATAAGAGATTCTGGTGCAGAAATTATGTTTTTGAAGGTCTAAATATTTTATAGCAGTGGCAGCCCATTGGTTACGAACTCGCTTGAAAAATCAAGTTAAGCAGATTCAAATCCCAAGACGCATCTTTGAGACTTTAACGTGCGGATCTCGTTTTTAACACGAAAAACACTTGCTAATGTGGCAAGGGAAAATATCGTGGGAAAACCTACATGTCTGAAAATGGGCTACCTGCGTATAAGGCTCTCTATGGATTATGGACTGATCCCTTCGTATTGGAGAAAAACTTGTGCTTAGTGGGACATTAAAAGGGCACATCTACATATCCCTATTTATATTTACGTTTATTTTATTTCATTTTATGTGTATTTTTTACTAATGAAAACTAAAAAATAATAATAAGTACACAAATATTGTGATTGAGCAATGATATTTTCTCACTAGTATTGCCATTGTAGGACATCGCAGTTTAAGCTCTGGAGTAATTATATTGACCACAGTCATGTACCACACATGTAACCTTCACGCTATAAAGTGCGGAGTAAGGTACCCACAGAGCAGAGTGCCTAGCCCTACAATCTCACATACTTATATACTAATATTATAAAGAAGCAGAGTTTCTTGGTTTGATTGTTTGTTTGTATGAACGCGATAATCTCA